GCCTTAAGTGGCTTGAAAAATGTCTCATGATAATAATCGCTGGTACCAAATGGAGTTTAGTTCATACCTGTATCCTGCTGCACACCATACAGTTCTGTTCTCATACAAGTTGTCGATCCAAATGTACTCTTAGGTAGGATACGGACGTATTGACCAACAGCCCCATCAAACAATGGATTTTGTACAATTATGTTAGAATCTGTGTTTCCAGGAAATACCTGGAAAACAATGAACACAAGATAAAATCACTTACCATTGGAAAGGAATAAAGTATAGATTAATGAAATTATCTCTGCTCAAAGATAAGTACTAAATAAATCAGAAAATTATATTCTTCTTCATTCATAGACATTCATCAGTGCTAAATGTGTACAAAGGGACCATTGTCACTGATGAACATATGATGCAGGTCTAAAATTGTACCATATTCACTATGTACTATTGCACTCTGTATACAGCCTTTAGCAAAAATTATGAGAATTGTTGAAATATCTAAATATCATAATATTGAGTGCATGATGGGTAATCCCGCGCGATGCCCTTAGTCACTTGTCTTTGTAATTTAGTTTTTTTTTTGGCGACAGACTTATCCGTAGTTCTGAACATTTTCTCGATGTCAACAATGAATTATTCTAGCAAACCCGCGTGTTCAGGACAATATATGGATATGGATATTATGATATTTCTCATAATTTTTGCAAAAGGCTGTATGACGAATAACAGTGTACTTGTTGTATACTAAATAGTGAATAGAATATTTCATTCAAGATACAATTCTATAATGATGTTACTAGCCAGGTAAAGGAAAAGGTGTTTGGTGCTAGTCATCCTTCATGGCAGCATGGGTGCTGAATTGCAAAAGACGCAGCTCGACGTGCTCTCAAGTCAAAGTGCTATATTAGTGCTATATGAAAGACACATTTTACATACACTTACACATAGGCGTGCTGCGCCAGGCTAGGGAGGGAGAGAACCAAAGAAACTCAAATAACATATTGCACCCCCGACCGAGATTCGATCGGCCACCCATGCATTACCTTAATGATATTATTTTCTTTATAGTAGTCAGAAAATGAAGTTCCATCTGCCGATGTCTGCATCTGATAATTCTGAACCCACTGCATGGACTTGTGGTCACCCTGTGATGCTACACCACAAATTATATAAGATTTACTCAAGTCAACCTGGAGATGTGGAGAAGAATCTGACGTAGCAGAGCACCATGATGAGCCTGCTGTGTAACCAAGCCTGCCATTGTATGCTGGAGTACTGGTATTGAAATTGGTTGATGATGTCATCTGGTTGTCTGGTATCTTAGCAACACTTGCAACACCAATAGTAAAGGATTTGCAACTGAAAACTGACAGGAATAAATATTATATACAATATATTATAATAATTATCATATACCTGTTTCAAAAATATGTTACAATTTGAAAACAGTAAAAAAAATCAATATCAAGTTCCCCATAAAACACGAAATCATTATTTCAATTTGTGACATAAAATTTGTGACAGAAAATATCAACTGATTCAAATCTTAATTATTCTTTTCTGTACTGATTTTGGAGTTTTAACCAGTATTTCTACATTTGATCACCATCTACTAATTTTTAATAGGACAAGGCTTTTGATAAAAAACATGTTCAAATTAAGTCAGCTTTCAGAATAATATAAATTCTGCAGTATATATATTATATATAGAACGTTAGTTATGCAAACATACTGATATAATTAGGGAGCTTTTAAAATATTAATAGTAATCAATTGGCAGTGTGAAACTGATACATTTTGTGTCTGTTAAGTATCTGGAATGTAGTTGTTAAATGTTGTTAAAAGTTAGTTGTTAAATGTTGTTATATCAGTTGCGCACATCATATAATTCAGTGTTTTTCTCTAGTATTGCACTGCGATAGGATTGTAATTAAACATATCATATCATATCATATATAGAACTTATAATATTATACCTTCACTTAAAGTAACCCCATACAGCTCCACTCGTAGAGCTTTGTAATTATTCCACTTTGTTGGTGTGAATCTGATTAGCTTTGCCTTGACAGGAGTATCAAGAATACGTGTAGCTGCACTATATCTGTTTATATTACCAGTAAATGTCTGTGTATAAGATAAAAATTCAAAAGTTGATTTTTTACAGTTTATTTAGTATATTCACTCACTGATTATAACCCATACAGAATGTCAATTCGTATTCATTTGCACCACCATCTTACAATCACCAGGACCCCCAGTCATGACTGCATGCACCAACTGGGTTTTAAAATTATAAAATCAAAAGACATTTTCCTTCTTCCAGATGTTTTCAGGGCTTATAGGATGACATCACCTCTTGGGGACAAAGCTATAGGCCCCTGCTCATCATCCAAGGGGATGCAACAGGACAAAATAGGGCAATAAAGGGTTGACTGTGGAGAAGAGGAGAAGACTAACAAAAAGCTGGTTTTCTATAGGAAATCCACTGTTATCACATGTGGCCGGGATAGCTATAGCCTTCTTAAAAATAGTATTTGAGCCTTAGGCTGGAACTTAATAGTCAACTTTAGATATTTTGGTTCGATGACTATGTAGAGTGCACGTCACATAAGCATGAAACAATTCTTAATATGTATTGCTAAATAAGATTTAGTGATCAACTAACTAAGAATTCAACAAAGTATAAACACAATGCCAATTATTTAAATTCCTTTGTAGCATTGTTCTCAATTCTTAGTTAGTTGATAACTAAATCTTATTTAGCACTACATAGTTAAGAATTGTTTCATGCTTATGTGACTTGCACTCTACAAAAGAACGCCCACGAGGCTCCAGGAAAACAATGGATAATCTTGATTTATTCTTTTATTTCTCCGGAGCCTCGTCTGCATTTCTTTTGTACATGGTCACTGAACCAAAATATCTAAAGTCGGCTAAAATGCAGTGCCTTTTTTGAGATCCCATCAACTTATCACTGTCAAACTTTAACAAGTTAACTTCTAACTTTATCTTTTATGTCTGGATAAATATATCTGCAATAAGTCATTTACCTTGGCATTGTCATTGTTTGGATACCAAGTCCATGTTTTACCATCTAATGATGTAGATATATTGTACTCTTCTGTCCATTCAGCTACACTCTTTCCATTTCCCTTTGTAGCAACAGCACAGATAACAAACAATTTACGCAGGTCTATCTGTAGATAGTCATCAGCCTTGTTATTCCCATTTGGTTCCCAACAACGATTAGAATTAAACCTAGCTTTAGCAGCTCCATATTCATTGTTCAGCTCTGTGCTGGCTGTAAAACTACTGTCTGGTATGATATTAGGGTCTGCAAGACCAACCACTTCAGATGGACAATCTTGAAAACCTGGTTGACAAATAACACCTTGAATAGTACTGTTTTCACCAGCTATTATCATCATCAAATAACATGACAATACAAATATGTACTCCTTGGCATCTAAAAAGAGTGTTGATATATAAAAAAAATCATGTTCTTTTAACCAGTTTCATAAAATATTGGCTTAATCATCTGGCCTGAGTTCTTCAAAGTTCAATTAATGTTCATTTATTGATACATGTAACTCCATGCCAGCTGCCAGCATACTACTAATTCAATTAGAAGTGATAAATTTTATTTTAAATCAAACATACACTACTTAATGATCTGTTAGTAGGCATTGCTACCACATTCCTACCCTGAAAGATTTTCAATCAACTTTGTGGGTGCRCTTTATTTGTGATCACATTATTCAAAGGTATAAAAATACAAGGTAAAAAATGTCATACTATGTACTTATTGACTGAGTTAGGTCGGGCTGTATGGGAAAATATTTGCCTCGAGGTTATGCGAACAAGAGCAGCGAGTTCTGTACAAATGACCGAGGGCCAAATATTTTCCTGTATAAGCATTTTATCATATGACAGCATTTTTTAATTAAAAAAATTAAATAAAAGTGCACAGAACTTCAAGCAGGGAAGATACGGGTTTGTACAGCCCTGTCGCGAAAAGGGGTACAGCCCCCATCATGTGACCATTTCCCAAAGGTTTTTTAAGAGCGCGCGTAGGGCCGAAATACGGGTCACATGATAATTGTAAACTTAATATCACTTGAAAGTCAATGAAAAATGCTAAATCGACTTCATAACAAACATCTGCAAAGTTTTGAAATGCATAAAAAGAGTTTAAAAATTCACAAGGATTTACAACAAATTTCACTCGAAAAGAAGGAGTATATTTCCATGCTCATCTTCCGTCATCATAAACAAAGCACTGAACCGCGGTGTCAAGGAACGCTGAGCACAGATTCTTTATTTTATGTGTAAGTGAATAATGTGGCCATACAAAAATTGGCGCTTTGGTTCATGCTTTTGTCCGTGGTCACTGAACCAGTTACATAACACCGTAAATGGCAGACATGTGAAATATTTAAGCTTTCAACCTATAGCTTTATATAGTTATTTATCAAAGCTCTATTGAAGATCCAGCAGTCAGGCACGATTTAGACACAGGCGGAAACATGATCTGACAAAGGTTGCTTCCTGCAACAAGAACAAGGTACACGGTGTACAGAAACCTCGCACGCTCAGCTAGCAGAGACAAAAGGTATATCTAAATACTATTTTAAGTATCTCAGGACTACAATAAATGTAATTGCGCAAAAATATACTTAGGTTAAATATTTTACGAAACTAAAAGTCTTGTTGTAGTTGCGACGTCGCATGTTGTTGCTGTGCAGATCGAGTCGTCTGTGCAATCTTGATCAGAATCTGTAAACTTAGCTACATTAAAGCTTAATGTGCGTGAAGCAAAGACCAAAAAGTTTCAAAATCACTCGACATATTTCGGTACAGAGCTAAGCTTCATCGCACTTTCACAAAGCTTAAAAGAGAGACAAACCATGACGTCCCATCAAACAAAGCCTAAAAAAATCGTTAGCTATGCAAACAGCGATCAAAACACGAAAAGCAGCTAAGCAAGTATTTCATTTCTACAAATGCGTTACTTCTTAGATTACCTGTGCTTTGGTGAAGCAGTAAGAAGAAAAATATAACGCGGAAGTACCATCTTTGTTTCGAGTTGTCATCCTCCATTGCCCCTGTATGCTCGACTGCTCAAGAATGCAGAAAATTACGAAAATTCCGTGTAAAAACGGACTCTATGGGAGGGGAAGGTAGGGGTAAATGTCAAGCCAATGAAACCTAGAAGGGAGGAAAGTGAGGGGTTTAATRCTGGTAAGCCGCCACTCGAAGAAGAAAAAAACGCGATATCCRTAGCTATATCAAGTCTAACCATACAGTATTTACGCACTGAAGACAGTAATGCAAGCAAAATTTATTGACAAATTTGTTTTTTTTGTGGGGGGGAGGGGTGAGTCTACCATTTCTTTTGCTTTTCTCAGTGTTTTAATATTTTTTCATACTTTGTATATCCTTTTATCTTTTTATTTTTATTTCATTATCTTATTTTCAAACTGATTTGCGTTTTTTTCTTATTTATAATGGTATATTCAACTTTCTCAGTTTTTTTTTCGTTGTGCTGAAAGTGATTGTTCTCAGTCATGTTTCGTTCTTAAAGAATTTCCGGTTCTATGTCTAACGTCTTTGTTTGCGTCTTTGTTTGAGGTCAAACTCCTTTCTGTTTCGAATCTGAACAACTAAGTGTGCGCCAAAACAATAGTTTAAAGAAATTCGTTCACGATGCTTTTAATACTTTTACTGCCGGAATAAAGCATGAAATCAGCAGAACAATAGATATCCCATAATTCATAGCAGTGTATAAATAAGCGTTATCTGCACGGTTTGTTCATTACACATACTACCCTACCCCCGACATGGCGTCATGGAACCTACAACACTCATGGATATACCGCTGTCCACTTTCGTGGCCAGCAGTCTTTTCAGACCTGTCCATATCTCATTGTATATTCATGTGTATTGTAGATAGTAAATAATATTGTACTGTTTCGAATCTGAACAACTTACTTGCAAAACAAAAGCTTAAAATAAGTCCATAATGCCTCTTTTACGCAACCTTCATCAAAACGAATTGTCTTTGCATACATTTATTTTTGCGTTAAATAACTGTCTGCGAAAAAGCAATTAAAGAGCGCCCCGGCCGGACAGCGCTAGAAACACACAATGACGAAAACTGGGCTCTGTGTACAAAACGACATGACCAAGCAATCACAAACGTTCCCTTATTATTATTAATATCTTTATTCAACTATTTCGAAATTCATTTTGATCAGTCACTTGTGCTAGCTAGCAATAGTCGCCTGCAGTTTTTCGTGGTAAATTGTATATCATTTCAAAAGTAGAGCTATATTTCAGATTGTGCATATATAACAACTGCATGGCTCAATTCTGCGATTTTTACAGATTTTCTAGTATCTATAATTATTATTAGTATTTAATTTGTTATAAACATATGTACTTACTTCTTTCCACACAAAAAATACAAAAGTCAATAAAATATTTCAATAAAATATTTTATTATTCTCGTCATAACTAAATCCTATGTCAGAATATAAATAACGTCAGTAAAAAATGCTATAAACTGTGAACTATATGTACATCAGCTTTTCTTAAATAAGGATAATTTAAAAAATACTTTCCAAAGGTAATGAGCAACTGCCGCCATTTTCTAAAGCAAAGYATGATGGGAGRTGGTRGTCATWGTCTGCTTAGATCCAATCATTGTCCATTAATATCCTATACATATTCTTCGTTAGCATTTTTAAATCAAAAGTAGCTGAGTCGTTTTTTTAAGAAATCCCAAAAACAAGAAGAGTGCTAGGACTGAGTACATTTTCTTACATTTTGCTTTCTGATTACAAAATGGCGTCGCCGTTCCACATTAGTTGACATTTGTCGCTATGGTTGACATGGCTCAAGATGTAATAATTGCGCACAGCGTAGTAAACTCGCAAAAGACTTCTTTGGACAATAAATTAAAGTTAATAATAAAAAGCGGGAAGTTTGGCATAAGAAACGCTATCAATAGTTCCATTGTGCTTGAGTCTTCTYGGATGGAGAATGGTGCTCACACTTCACTAAAATTGGCGTAATCGTTGAATGAATCAAGGTATGCTCGAACCATCTTATAGCAAAATTTATATTGCTCCTGAAAAGAGAAAAAAAGGTTAGCAATAAATTTAATGTCAGAATTGTATTATAACAGTTGTATAGTACGATATTGCACGTTTATGCATGACGAGAAAAGAGCGAAAAAATAAAATAAACAAATGAAGACTATTTYATCATTACCAAAGTTGCCACGGCATTAGGGCGTCCAAGACGAAGAACTTTAATGGCTTGAAAGACATCAACGACTTGCTCTAACTTGACTCGTTCAAGTATTGAATACACGGCGCAAAATGTACCACTTCGACCAACACCATCACTTAAATTGAAAAGAGATAAAACGTTTTAAGCCACATCCATAATGCTGACGTAAGCCTAAAAGGCGGTACATGTACGGAGACGGTGAAGGAAGAGGCGGCAGATTTCCTTCATCGCCTGCGTCTCCCTTTAGCTGAACGGTCTGACTCTTTTTCTCCGCTAGTTTTACTAGCACTATGAGTACATACTTAAACGTACCTGCACTGGACTACAATTGGAGCGTTGCATGATTGCTGCTGTGCTTTTTGAACTCTGTTGACGATATCAAGAATACTTTGACAATCGTTTGGTGCACCATCTTTAGGCCAGTCGGTGTGTTGAATGTGAACAAAGTTATGAGGGTTGTTTTGATCCTGGAATATAAATCCAAAGTACGTTGTTGGATGCACATCAAGTCATCATAAGGTGTTCGTGTGAAGTGTTTAGTTGGCATGATGATCATTTTGCCATGTCGGCAAGGAAATTCTGTAAATATTGAAAATATACAGACAAAGACTGTTTATAGATTTGTTTGCTTTGGTTTACTTTGGTTTGGTTTGGTTTTGTTTGCTTTGTTTGAAAATCTCTCCTACCTCTAAATGAGTGAGGATACACTTGTTGACAACCAATGGTCCGCAGCTTTCACTATGAATCACCTCGACTATTATACCATTATATGTATCTGAGCTTTCTTTTGGCCAGTACTGAAGGAACGACTGCAACATGGAAATAAAATATTTGATATCCCTTGTGTATGATATTAAATAATCTGGCAAATCATTTTGTTTTATCCGGATAGTGTAGGCAGATAGATAGTCAGCGAGGGTATTGGCAAAGCGGGTATTGGCAGGATTTTGTGGCTTAGCGACTTTTCTCATCGTAAATAACCTCATTTTCTTCTTGTAATTTGTTCAACATCACAATTGATCCAATCTTGTACTGATGGACCATGAGCCAGAAATCTGAAATAGTGTTCTCCAATGGCGCCTGCGTCATGATGAAAGCTTTGCGTTCCCTGAAAGCCTACAAAACGAACAAATAAAAAAAGATCATAAGCTAAATCCTTACTTTGATATGAGTGGAATAGTTCATCCGATTTTTTATATAGAAGGAATAGAAACACTGACATAAATCTAGTCATCAAATTCTCACGTTAGCAAAAGATGCGTTGATGTAGTTTTGGTGTTCTTGAGGGAGGAGCACACGACTTGAATCAACTGAAAATAGAAAGTACAAGTTTCTTTAAGCATCAGGACAAAACATGCCAACATAATTTTATCAGAACCTTTTGCTTTTGGACATTTTTCTGGGCAACATATTATGCTTTTGGAGAGTTTTTCTGGTCAACATAAATGACAAAAATGGACTGATTTCTCGAACTAGAGACTCACATTGAGCGACAAAAACATTTAACAGAAAGTGAACTGGACCCGAATTATTGAATTAGTCTAATTCAAAGAGTATACCATATCAAATAGTTGTATGTCATTCGTGCGGGATCCCTATGCATTTTAGTTTCGGGCTTCCTTTAACATGCGCCATATATGGAAGCAAACAAAATGGCCGATTGTCAGAAGTGTTTTCGCTCATTTCGCTGTAATATCTGCAAGTTTCCGACGATTTCAAGCTTTAAAAGTCAAGAAAAATGCCCAGAATCAGTCCATACATACTTCCAAATAAGGTAAGATTACAAAATTGGACTGCCAAACGGAGGAAAACGAGGCAGTTCTTTGATATGTAAGTTGAGAGTTGATCAAAATGATTTAAGCTTAAGCTTAAATATTGTCCTACAATTGGTTAATAGAGATTTCGTATGCCGTACGCTTACACGGGATGATGTCTTGATATCTGTTACGTGGTAGATTTTCTTGTTGTCTTCCTGTTTCACAAGCTTCGTTGGTAACTTTGGGACTGATTGCATTCAGGCGCTTAAACCAAAAAAAGACAGAAAGATCGTATGGAACTATAAAATAAAGTCAGGTATGGCTGCTATTTTAGTTCTTTTCAAAGAAATCGGTGGTCTACTGTGTATCTTTGACATCATTACTTACAAAATGTTATAATACATTTAAATGCATTGTTGCTATCAAACTCCAGTTGGGATATATAGCCTGTTTTACATCCGGAATTTGTGTCTAATTTCCGACGGAAATTAGAAGACAGAAATTCCGGATGTAACACAGGCTAGTTGGGATACAAAATGACAATTCTCTGACTGAGAACTGGTATTGTCAGCTCTATGACGCCACAAAATTACCCCTTCAAACGGCGCGAACACCATTCCATTTCGGCCTTGAATAAACTATACTATATCAGTAATTTGAAACGAATCTACGAGGATTATAGTTTGTACCTTCCATTCTAACTGGTAACCAGTTTGCTGATCCTTTGGTCTTGGTCGGGCTAATTTCGCCATAGCAATGTTAAGGTCTATAACAGTTATTTCTGTATTCCCACAAGTTATTGCCTCCTGTAGGGCACGGTAAACGAACAAAAATTGCTCCTAAATTTGAAAACCCTATTGTCAATTAAAATGCAATCATTATATGGATGGTAAAGGCTGATTTACACGGTACGATTTGTCGTGCGCGACTTGTAGTATACGATTTTCCTACTACAAGTCGTAGGGTTTTAAGCAGTGGTTCTAAACCCTACTACAAGTCGTAGGTTGCGTACGACTGTTGTAGACAAGTCGTAGGGGCATTTACACTGCGCGATTCAAGTCGCGCGCGACAAATCGTACCGTGTAAATCCGCAGCCTTGATAATATTTCAAGGAAAACACGTCTTTATATGCACTTGCCTCTGTCTGGATCATTGTGCATCGATTTTCCCTCATGAGCTGCACATAGTTTAAAATGTCAATGGTTTTGTCTTTTTTGACTTTCTCCATCATCGCATCTATTGCTAGAAATGCTCCAGTTCGGCCTACACCAGCACTGCAATATCACCGTTTGAGAGTTATTCATAATTTAAAATAGAACTGGTAGGTCGAGTGTAGGCGAATGATGGCCGAGTATGATCGAGTGGTAAGCGAATGATAGGCAATTGTAATGATTGATTGAGGCGCCTGTCGGTCACTTCTGTGTAAATAAAAACTACCAAGAGCTTTGTGTGTCAAATTATTCAACATGTCTGATTATCTCTTCTGAATAATCCTCCTGAGATTCTTCAATTAAGATTTTTGATTTTTCTTCGTCTTATTTTAAAACAAAAGCAAAAATTATAGACTATGCCAGTGTTTCGGTACCTGCAGTGGACAAGCAAAGGCCGTCCTGTTGAACCACAAGACAGATAGTGTGACCTAGCCTTCTTGCGAAAGCCTAACAATGACGTAGCGTGCTCTGGCACACCCTTGTCTGGCCAGGAAATGTACTGGAAATGGTAAACTTGTCGATTCTCCGTCTCGCCATCCTGTAAAACAAATTAATTAGGAAATTGCCTTACTTTAAGTCAGACTATTGTGTGATGTAATCGCCAAGGTATGGAACAATGCTGTTTGAGAGTGAACCTTTTATGAATTAGTTAACTGAAAAAGCCTAACCTTGCAGACGATGAAGACCCTGACAACATAGTCAGCCATCGTATCAGTGCGATGGAGCTTTACTGTGAATTTTCCATAAGTTTCAAAAGTGTCTTTCTTGTCAGGCCAGTACTGATGACACTTCACCTAAAAGGTGAACAAAATTTGATTTTATTGTTATCGCTGTAATCCGCCATGATGTGGTTGTTCTTGCTGTTGGAAAGACAACTACAAAACCTTTTTCGTTTCTATCAAATTAGTAAGCATGACAATAGTCTTGATGTATTCCTGCCACACCATCTGCCAAAAGTCCGGCGTACTTAATAAATTGGGACCTGTTGAAGACATTGAAGTATTGAAATGAAAAAATAGCAATGTATTGCCACTTTGACCAGCGAAAAGTGAAAAAATGCAAAAAATAAATAAAAATAGACAACAATTAAAAGCTGTTAATGAAGACACAAGATTTTAGACAGGAAGCAGACATTAAGAAACATTTGTGGTTACCCTGTGTTGCTATATAAGTTTTGGGAGTGCCATCAAATCCCTACAACAACAAAAATAGTTTAGCTCCTTCAAAAAGGTAAAAGAAAAGAAACACAACAAAGCTTGAAAAAATCGTCATGCAGTACATAATCGCTTTGGTAGGAAGAGATGTTTGTTGTGAAACTTAATTGTCTTCAATATTTTGTGAAGTAGTATCTACTTAAAAGTTCAACTTACGTGGATGTAGGAAGCGTTGACATAGTCTGAACCATTTGATGTGTCTTCTAAAACAACTCTTGAGTGATCGTCTTCATAAAAAAAACATCATGATTAGGTATTTTAAAAGCCAGTGACTTTTCAAAGATCAAACTTACTGTTTTGTTGAATGGTTATTGGCTTATATTATTTTGTGTAGTTATTAATGCTTCTCATTACGTAATCGATCAAATGATTGCCTAATTGATTGATTGCTTGTGTGGTTATTGGCAAATCTAAAATCTTTTTAAATCACTTACATGTGATGATATTTGCATATCTGTTCTTAGGTTTGTTTTTTGGATCCCTTGCAACCGTCCAAGGATGCATCTGCCCAGCGGCGAGAAGCTATGTAMATTCAAATATATAAACAGACTTTATATTGTACCGTTTTCTAGGGTTAAGAACCCGTCTCCACTATCTAATTAGGGATGGAGTTAAGAATTTATGTTTTCCCCCTCTAAGTCTTAATCTCGGTATTCAGTTTAGAGTTAAGACTACGTTTACTTCACACTTTTAAAAGTCACTGCCAGATGCTGGTTAGTTCTAAGAAGAAATGTATTTTCCACCCCTAGGTCTCCACCGCCGTATTCAGTTTAGAGTTAAGAATACGTGTTTTTCACCCCTAAATACCCACAACCGTATTCAGGTAAAGATTAAAAATCCATTTTTTACCCCTAAATCACCAGCCCTAGGTTTCCGTCACCGCCGTATTCAGGTTTGAGCTAAGAATTCACAACCGTGTTCGGTAAAAAGGTCCCGATTCCCAACCCTCCAAACTTTGATATCCAATGACTTCCGCCCACACCACTACCACCACCACAATGTAGCCCTCTTTAACAGAGTAGTATTCTCCAATGGCAATTACAGAAAAGGAAAGGTGGATAAAGATGATTTTCCAAATATATGATAGGAAATTTGTCGAAAGATTGAACAAAGCAACCAAGGACAAACGACTCAATATTCACTAACCTTAAAGTTTGCCTTTATTATATCCTGATTTTCATTCACGTACTTCCTAAACTTATTGACGTGGATGGGCTGATGCCGTATTACCTCAGCATTAGCATACATATCTGCACTTTCATCTTCAAGACTTTGAGTATTTGGGTTACCTTATGAAATAATAATATTAGACCAGTCAATTAATATTCTTATGCCGGATCACATGTAGAATAATTGCTCCTGTTTTTATGCAAAGAAAGTTAACGACTGTTTCTTTATGCAATTGCCAAACGGGCAACATCTTATTCCTTCAATTTGAGCAAACGTTTCATTAATTAATAAGCGCATAGAGACAATTTGTACATGAGAATGTAAAATTATTACTAATCTGTAAATGTGATGATGAGAAAGGCAGAACAGATAAACTGAGAACTTTTTAGTGTTTTACAAATCTTCAGTACATCACCTACTTTTTATCACATCTTTATTCTTCTCTTCGATATTTTCCACATTATCCATCTCAATTTCATCATTCGCTTGGATGTCTTTGCGTCTTCTAAAACCAAGAACCAGAATATATCAGATTGGCAAGGACAAGAAGATCAACGGCAAGAAGACTAACACGGAATAACAGAAAAAGAAGAGCAAGAAGAAGTACAAAATACAGGGAAAGTAGGATAACAGGAGGAGCCAATGTGAGAACCAAACAAGGGCAAAGGCAAGGCCAAGGCCAAAGAGCAAGGGAAAGATTCACATGTACTAGATTGACAAGAACCAGATTGACCAGGACCAGCTTGAAAATTTCACTTACTTTCTCCAGAAGATAACCCCAACAATAATGGTAACAATGATAATCACCAAAAACACGGCTACCAAAGATCCTACCAGTGGAGCAATGGACCCGCTTCCTGATTGGTTAGATTTGTCTACAATTATATCATACAAGAAGACGGGTCGTTAACGCAATCACTTCAGGGATCTTATGCTTGTGCCAATGTCTAATGTTGTACTATTGACGTTTTAGTGTATTTTTTAAAGATTTTTTTTAAGTATTTTTTAAGTATTTTTTTAATTTTTTTTCCTCATTCTGCTTCTCAAAGACGTTTTTTGTCCAATTTGAGCCAGTTCAAAAATTCGAGGATAGATTTTCCTGTTTAACTGTGCTTACACATCACATTCCGACATTTGTATGTAATCTTGCATTAAGCATATGTTTGGAAACCGTTACACTTTTGAAAATCAAGATGAAGAAACAAAGCTCTACCGAACCTATTAGTACCTATAGAGATTAAGCAGTTCGCAATATTCTTGCATTGGCCTTTGTACTTACTTTCTTCAAGGGTCCGCTCCTTGATCTCGTTTGAATAAGGACCGTTTCCTTCAGATGTGTACGCCAGTATTTTGAAAGAATATTCAGTGTGCATTTCGAGTCCATCAATAACATCCTGAAGAGTGCTACTTCCTTCCAATGTTTTTGTTATCCGAGTAGTATTGTCAGCTGTCTTACAATATGATATATTAAAACCTCTAATGACACCATTCCTTTTGTCCTTTGGTGGCAAGCCCCATGTAAGGTTAACACTTGTAGGGCTTGTGGCAGTTACATTGAAATTCGTTGGTGGAGCATCTGGCTCTGAAACAGATTGCTTTAAGTTTCTTTTATGAATCGAAATAAAATATAGTATCTCTGATCTCAATTGCATTGAGCCTCAGAACCTTAATAATTTTTAAAATTCGCAATTCACAAAAGTCTTACTATCTTCCAGGGTGCGTTGCTTTCTGGCAGCACTCGGTAGACTATATCCTGCCTCATTGTGAACTTGGACTGTAATGTGATATTCCGTCCATTTTTTCAAGTTTGGAATGATACGTGAAGAAGTATCTTCACCTTCGACAACAATGTAGTCCCCAGTTCCTCCCTGCGTAGTCGAGACTTTTATTCTATATCTATCAATGGGGCATCTGAGAGCAGAGGCGACCTAGACAAACAAAGATAAAATCGTTTTGAATAATAATTTTCTCTACATAAAAGGCTTCATGAACTACGGCTTAAAAAAAAAACGATAAATAAGTATTCGTAAATACCTGCCATGTCACAAGGATACTTTGTGATGTTTTTGGAGTTGCAGTAACTCCATCTGGAGCTGTATTAAGCAGACGATCATAAATCAACAGTCAAAGACGAATGTAACATTGTAAAACAGAACAAGCATTAAACTTACATTTAGATTTTGTTCTGAAGCTCAAAGTGTTACTCCAGGATCCTTCACCTAGTAGACTTTCAGCCCTTATAGAAACATTATACTGTGTGCAAACTGACAAACCACTAATTTTTTGGGGAGAGCTTGAAGCATTGACAGTATTCTTAGTTGAGTTGATCCAGTACTTTATAGCAAAGGAATTGCTTGCTTGTGCTTCCGATTTTGAGATTGTCCAATGGATTTCCGCCGACGTGGTTTGAATATCCGAGTTATTAACACGTTTTAATGAGGGGGTAGATGGATATTCTGGATAATAGCATATAAAAAAGAAGAAATATGAAATTGAAATGAATGTCAAATATGTTAACATGGTGTTAGAGAAAAGTACAAAGATCTCATTGACTAACCAAGGAAAGTCGTGACCTCTGCTCCTTGAATCGAACTTCTAGAAACACCGTCTTTTGTATAATTAACTTTGCACACAATCTTTCTTCTGCATATTACAAAACTTGATTCTTTAGAACATCTTCATAAAAAAAAGTTTAAAAAAAGCATTAACGTCAGAAAAGGACATTTAATTTCAAACACTTATTGCTCAATGCATTGGCTCAATAATATCAAACGATGGCAACATAAAAATGATATCGCAAAAATTACCGGCTGATGACGCTACATAAACAATAAAGTAGTTGAAACGAGGGCATTATGCGGTGGTAGTTGCCCGCGAAAATTGGATACTCAGGAAAGCAAATAGTCGCCTGAGAACGCGACCTGGTTGCTGTCATCAATTTCTAATTAAGAAATATAAAACGGCGCGCGTGTCTCTGTCCTTTGATATAAACACGGTGGGAGTTCGAAAAACACGAGAGAAGCAAGCTTAGGAACACGAGCGTAGCGAGTGTTTCTCTTGCTTCTCGAGTGTTTTTCAACTCCCTTCGTGTTTATATCAGAGGACAGAGACACAAGCGGCGGTTTTATATTTCTTTTATAAAATTTTTCGAGCGAAAAGAACATTTTGCCGGTAAGCCGTGTCTCTGTCTTCTGATATAAACACGGTCGTCAGCCAATCAGAGCGCGCGTTATATATGAAAAATTTTATAATCGCCATCTGATGACATAATGAACTGATCGATAATGACGAAACAATGATGATGAGACTGAATGATTGCCACACATACTGTTGATGCCTATCAACATAAGACTACTTATCAATACGTAAAGGTACTTACTGAAATTTCGTAAAAACATCACTGGCATTGGTGTAGTTTACTTGCAATTCAGATTTGACAAAGGTCACATTGCGCATAAGACCACTAGACAGATTTGTTACATCTTGACCATCAATACTCCAGGCAATGGACTGTACCAATGGTTCTTGTACCTTGCATGTCAAAGTTACATGACTACCTCTTAAAGCTGTAAGGTTTTTATTTGACAATTCGGATATTTTTATGGTCGAAGCTGAAAAAGATATATACTTTATCTGTGAAATCACAAAAGTACTTCTTGGCATGTTTGTTGTGATCTCCAAGAAGCGTCAACGATTATATATTTCTTGACTGTTACGAGGAAAATAACACTCAATACCTGTGTCCTTCTGTACACCATATAATTCTATTCTCATGCAAGATGCAGATCCAGGTCGAATACGGACATACTGACCAACAACCCCAACCAACAATGAATTTTGTACAATTGTGTTAGAATCATTGTTTCCAGGAAATACCTTTAAAAACGACATAAGCAGATAAAATAAGTCTTATATTATGGCAAAGTTACAAAGTTGAATAGTGGTGTACCTTCGTAATATTGTTTTCTTTATAGTCAGTAAATGCAATTCCATCTGCCGATGTCTGTATCTGGTAAGTCTGCACCCACCTCCTGGACTTGTGGTCACCCTGTGTTGCTACACCGCAAATAACATAAGATGTATTCAAGTCAACCTGAAGGTATGGAGAAAAGTCTGACGTATTAGAACACCATGACGACCCACTGGTGAAACGAAGCCTTCCATTGGACGGTGGAGTACTGGTATTGAAATGGGATGATGAAGTCATCTTGTCATTTGGTATCTTAGCAATATTTGCAACACCAATAGCGGAGGAATTGCAACTGAAGGCTTAAGGTGAACAATCAAACAAATATCATTGATAATTTACAATAGTTTACGGTATAGTTAAAGAATGGACAATGTCTAACGTGCACACATCCAATGCGGGATGTACGTGGATGTAGTTTGGGGTTTAAGTCTCGAGTCGCATTCGAGACTTCAACATATCAGTACAAACAGACTTCATTATTTATTCGTAAGTACATGATGTTTTCCTCATTTAACATGAATTTCCGTCAAATAGCTTGCGTCGCTTATTCGTTTTCTTACGTTGAAACTCTGTTTTGTAAGTTAGTAAATCATAATGGGGAGGAGGAGGGTTATGAAGTGCTGACGCAAACATCCTCGCCTAAATGCTGATTTACAGGGCACGATTGTCTCGTGCGATTTGTAGTATACGACTTAAATCGTGCAATGTAAATGCCCCTATACGACTTGTCTACAACAGTCGTACGCAACTTACGACTTGTCGTAGGACTTTGAAGCACTACTTAAAATCCTACGACTTGTAGAACTACAAGTCGCGCGCAACAAATCGTACCGTGTAAATCAGCCTTAACAGATGAAACCCTGTACTAAATGAAGCCCCCTACCCTCCCCCCTCCGAACAAACGAATCCCCCCAACTGGGTTAGTATGCAAATTCTTGTTCATTCCACAGTTCGGTGATTTTCTTAAAATTGTTACACTTATCAGTTGAAAATATATTGAAATCCTTGATAATTCTATGATTACTGTTAGTTTTATTAGCTTATTCTCATATATAAATATCTAGTATAGTAATAAGAAATCAGATATTCCAGTTATAATTATCATGTCTGAAGTCCCAACAGGAAGAAGAAACGGAAAGCAGCTGAAATATCAGTTTTAGATATAATTTCGATTATCTAAAAATAACGGTTGAAAAGAAATTGCGTATAGTTATACCCTATTTTAATACAATAGTTTACAATAATGTATACAATAATTCAAAAATAAAGTCTCTAAAACTTTGGCACAGCATGTTAAAGTTCGAAAGCTTTCAATTGAAACTTTAACCTCCAAAACTTTGATAAAAACAATTTGTAATGAGGTAGGGCTATAATGACCATATATAATTGATACAAAAATATCATAATTGTATTTAATCGCTATAATACGTCACCGTGTTAAATTATAAGTGTCTGATTAATATATTGTTTGGTGTGTTGTTATTGTCTATCAACGATGATATTGATGGTCTATCATTTCACCGGTAACTTATGCTAGAACAACATTGGATCACACCTTTGTCTCTACTTTTTATCTGAAGGAGCCATCATTAGATGTAAAAACGTGTCGAATAAATCGATCGTAAACATTGTCATGAGCAATCTTCTACATAATTGACAAAAGCAAATACATACATCGTTTTTGCAGTCATTCTGTTGCGCGAAGCACGATTCAAACAACAACAACTTCCATTTAGTTCATCACTTATACAAGCATGTTGCCATGTACTTTGTTAGATTACCTGTGCTTTGGTGAAGCAGTAAGAAGAAAATTATTACGCGGAAGTGCCATCTTTGTGTCGTGTTGTCGGCGTCCATGTTTCTCATGACTCGCACCAGTGCACAAAAGCTCTAGTGCACAAGAGAGAATCATTTCCGGGCAAAATTACAATAATCATTATGGAAACAGTACGGCCATGATGTAGGGAAGAGAAGCAAATGTTAAAAAGAAGTGAAAAGTTCCTTGGAGACACAAGGCAATTAAACATTCGAGAAAAATTTGAAAAATAAACGTGCAATACTCACAGTTATGCTATAAGTGGTAAAGTGGTTTTCATAGACCCGTGAAACACACTTTAGCGTATTTATCGCTATTACACTTTGGCTCTTTTTTTTTAGAGTGGTTTTCATAAACCCGTGAAACACACTTTAGCGTATTTATCGCTATTACACTTTGGCTCTTTTGTTTTTTATTGTCTCTACGCGACTATTACGATCTTTTACACTCTAATTATTACATTTTGCTTCACGGGTTTATGAAAGCCACTCTAAAGGGGAACCATTTGACATTTTTAGAGTTTAGTATTATGCTCAATCCCAAAAAATATCAAGATTCTAAATAATTACTTTATTTTCCAATATCGTACCGACAAAGGTCTAAATTACAGAAATAGAAATATACAGCTATATGTATATTTGAGCAAAATAATACAGAGAGACTAAAATGAAATTTCACGGATTAAAGCGGCGTTTACACGAACAAATTTTCCTTGACAAGTTTCTTATCCACCCCCTAACATTATATGCGAGTATCGCATATATTCTTTTATAAATTATAAATATATAATCAATATTACATAAGTTCTTATAGAGTACAAACACTAAAACTGTGCAACATAAATACCACTAAATACCTGCTAAATTATGCTAACTCTATTGTTTTCTATTGTTTAATTAACACTATTTTGTAGCAAATAGTGGAAAGTGTTGCACACATTTAATGTTTGTACTCTAATCATACAATTTAAGTATAAATTCACACAGCGCATTTTGTATTATTTCATATAAGTTGTTATATTTTCACAAATAAAGCTCTTTTTTCAAGCTTTGCCTTTATTTAATCTTTTATCTTCGTTCGTATATTACTATTAAATGGATTGTTTTTATGCATAAGTTAAAAAAATAATTATATTATCTTATTTTGTCATATAACTAAATTCAGAAAATATGTTCAACACTTGGTTCTGACATAACAATTTATGCCCGAAGTTTAAAATGTTATGACTTGACTAGAACTTGAATAAATATATCGGCTTATGTACATCTAGGGTAACAGTTATAAAGCACTTAATTTGTATTAAATACGCCAAGCGGTTCCACAATTATACGCTCACTTAACGCACTGAACGAGTCTTCGTAGTGAATCGGCTTTACACTTCACTGAAGTTCGCATAATCATTGAAGGAATCAAGGTACACTTGAACCATCTTATAGCAAAACTTGTATTGCTCCTAAAAACGAAACAAATTAAAGTGAGCGAATTATTTGGGCAAAACAGGGTCTTCCGCCATTTTGAAAAATAAAAAAATCGAGCACAGACGCCCTGAGAACAAGATTGCGAAAACATGCGTTTTGTCGATATTAAAAGCAAACATCTACATCTACGTTTATTGATCGACAACGCTTTCGCATCAAGCCGATAAAAAAAAAACCAAATTTCAAGCAGAATGTTTCAGTATGATATTACCAAAGTTGCCACTGCATTAGGGCGTCCAAGACGAAGGACTTTGATTGCTTGAAAGACATCAACGACTTGCTCTGACTTGACTCGTTCAAGTATTGAATACACGGCGCAAAATGTACCACTTCGACCAACACCATCGCTTAAAATGAAATAAGAATAAAAAACCTTAGAAGAACTAGAAGGGTTGACGTCCAAGTTATCATGGTTCACGGACGCTAAAAGTATGCATTAGATACGTTAGGCTTGGGATGGAACTGAGAACTGTAGATAATAAGGAAAGCTTTTCATACGCCATATTCTACTGGCATAAACGAACGTTCTCCGCTAAACTTGCATAGTGAATTCCCTGCCTAAACTTACCTGCACTGGACTGCAATTGGAGCGTTGCATGATTGCTGCTGTGCTTTTTGAACTCTGTCGACGATATCAAGAATACTTTGACAATCGCTGGGTGCACCATCTTTAGGCCAGTCGGTGTGTTGGATGTGAACAAAGTTATGAGGGTTGTTCTGATCCTGAAATATGAATCCAGAGTACATTGATACGTCGAGACATCCCGTGCATAACTGTTTACTTGCCATTCTTTGTAATTATTTCCCTTACCTCAACAAGAGTTAGGATACAATTAGTAACCACTAATGGTCCCTTTGTTGCCCTATTGATCACTTCGACAGTGATACCATTGTAGGTTTCTGAACTTTCTTTTGGCCAGTACTGAAAAAACGACTACAAAACAAAGAGAATTTGTCAAGGAATATCACAAATATTAGTTTTGATACAAGTCACACATACATGCCGTCATGAAAACAGGCATGAAGGAATGATATGTAATCTTTCGCCTTTTGGCCGGACAACTGCGACAGTCATAGACAATTACTGTGTTCCTGAACAAACAGCCGGAAGGACAAGAGAATGAGCTAGTCACCGAGGGTGGTCACAGCCATGTTTAGAAAAGCATTTAGTTATACAGATCGGGCACGAATATTACATTTATGATAACATATCAAAGTGTTTGGAAGATTTACAGTTTGGGTTGATAGATTGACAGGGTGGGTATTGGCAGGATTTTGTGGTTTAACGCCTTTTCTCATTGTAAATTACCTCATCTTCTTCTTGCAATCGGTTCAACATCACAATTGATCCAATCTTGTACTGATGGACCATGAGCCAGAAATCTGAAACAGTGTTCTCCAATGGCGCCTGCGTCATGATGAAGGCGTTACGTTCTCTGAAAGCCTACGAAACCAACAAAAAAAATTGGACCATGGAGCAAAGACCTTATTACGTGGGCTTCCTGTGGAAGCACACGTCTTAAAATGCAACTGGCGATTTCGTCGTGGTCGTCGTCGTGAATATTACGCTTCAAATTGGTAGCGCATCGATAGCGCATGCGTTACAGTTTCAGTTTCCATGGAGATGTCAAAATAAACCAATCAGCGATTTTTGGTAGCGCCTGCGTTGCAAATGGACTGCAGTCTCAGAATGAAAACAAAATGGCTGACAGACGGCGGCAAAAAGTTGTCTCGTTTCAAATGGTTCTAAAATGTAGCTAAAATGCTCTAAAGAGCTGAAAATCGTACAAAATCAACTGGTTACCATCATTGAGGTATATAATTCAAGATTAGCGGATGATTCGTGCAGAAATGACTGGGCATTTTCTACCGCCGACTCGAAGAGCAGTACTTCTTCGTCACACAAGTGTTCGATGTCAAACACAAAATCTTCAAAAATAAGAAATCACATGGATATTTAAGGTTCATACTTTGACAGAAAACAATCATTCGATGGAATAAAGCATATCAAACCTCATCTGAAAAATATTGATGCCATTTTCTAAACTAACGATGTGTTTGAATTTCGGAAAACTGCACGTGTGAGCTTTACTGAACTCTGTATACAAAATCTATATTGTGTATGAAGCATTTTAATTAATAATTCTCTATTGTTTGTTTTGATGATTGTTTAACTTGAAAAACTTAGACAAATCCAAAAATATGAACTGTCATTAGAAGGCTAAGGTACACCTTTATGATTTCACAGAACACCAGATGTCAAATTAATGAAAAAACACCAAATAAAAAAGAACAGAAACACAAGATACAGATACATGATTCAAATGATCAAAATATTATTCAAAGYTATACTGCCAAGACTGTACCGTTTCTATTGTTTATATGACCTATATGACCTATCAGATATTTTGACTAATATAGACGCTCTTGAGCGTAAAGTCGAGCTAGTTATTTTGGAAAACTGAGAAAAAAGACATGGTATCAAAGAATTTACTTAGAGTTCAGTTCGGTAAAAAAAATGTAATAAATTGATAACATATTAACTTAATTCTGTCTTGAATTATTACAAACAAAGACTATCTTSTGAAAATGAAACACCATTGTCACAGGAAGCCCACGTAAGCGATCCATGATCGTCTAGTTTGAAATTGAATAAATGGTGGATCCGAGCATTCTGCCTGAAATGATAGAAATTACTGAAAGTATACGACAAAAAATAAGAAACAATGCATAATAAAAAACTTGCAAAGAACAAAAATGAGCTGTAAACTCGTGACACGAATTGGCAGATTTAAGAAACTTTAGGGAATAGCTAAGAGCCCCCGGGGCTAAAAGAAGAAATAAAGGTAAATTATAAGACACTTACGTTAGCAAATGATGCGTTGATGTAGTTTTGGTGATCTTGAGCAAGGAACACACGAGCTGAATCAACTACAAATAGAAAACAATGTTCAGGCAAGAACGTCCATGATTTTTCACGTCGTTTGGAGTTTCCACTCTTTTATATATCAGTACATGTAAAATGTTAATGAATAGCTGGCAAAAATCTTCTACTGTTTTCTGTGACGACCTCTATAGAATTGGGTCAGAGGCTATAGATTTGAGGGTATAAATCCTACATGGGACGATGTCTTGATATCTGTTTCGTGGTCTGTTATTCGGTTGTCTTCCTGCTTTGCTCACTTCGTTGGTTACTTTAGGACTAATTGCAGTCAAGCGCTAAAATTGAAAGGAAGATCGTGTCACATGCTTTGGATGAAACTGGCCTTAGTCTTTTGCAACTGACACTGGGGAGAAGYGCACTGCGCATGCGCAAGTTTCAAGAAACAAAATGGCGGTTAAATCAAAGAGTGCCGACATCAATGACTAATATTATATAATTGAAATGGTATTACTGTACCTTCCACTCTAAATGATATCCAGTTTGTTGATCCTTTGGTCTTGGTCTGGCTAATTTTCCCATGGCAATGGTCAGATTTAAGACTGGTATTTCTGTATTCCCACACGTTATCGCCTCTTGTAGGGCACGATGAACAAACACATATTGTGCCTATATTCAGAACCATATATGAAAAAGATATACCCAAGATCACTGGAAAAAATCGTTCACTTTAAGAGGTTGTAAATTTGATGTAAATATTATGTAAGTGTCCAAAATGATATAAATTTGATGTAAATTTGATGTACCTCATTTTGGACACTTACATAATATTTACATCAAATTTACAACCTTTAAAGCGCGCGATTTTTTCCAGTGAGATATAATAAGAAAAACACGCCTTAGGCACTTGCCTCTGTTTGGATCATTGTGCATCTGTTCTCCCTCATCAGCTGAACATAGTTTAAAATATCAATTGTTTTCTCTTTTTTGACTCTCTCCAACATCGCATCTACGGCCAGAAATGCTCCTGTTCGACCAACACCAGCACTGCAAGAGCACCGTTTGAGATTCGGTATTCAAATGTGAAATTTTTGAAAAATTTTTCAATTCAGGTACCAACCTGCAGTGAACTAACAAAGGTCCTGTTGAATCACAAGACGAGTATTGAAGCCTTGCCTTGTTGCGAAAGCCTAATATTGACGTCGCATGCTCTGGAACACCCTTGTCTGGCCAGGAAGTATACTGGAAATGATAAACTTGTCGACTCTCTGTCTCGCCATCCTGGAAATAGTTTAAATTGCCATACATTTAATTTGAGCGAGCCAATGTGCGTACTTTGATCCAGCCAAGAGAAATGTTGCATAACACAACACCATCAAGCATCTTTCAACTGGTCAACATTGTTTGATGGGTGTTGAACGAAGTTTACATTCTGTCAAAAACTTCTATCAAACATTATCATTTCTTGTTTATTAAATGTGGATTTTTTGAAACCGTTTGACCACACAAGAACCTGTCTGGTGATCCAAGAATAGCTGATGCATGTCTTGTTCTCTCAAGAGACACTGGTGATGTTCAAGGCAAAGGTAGAAGACTTTGTAAACGAAATTCAAGATATACAAATCTAACCTTGCTAACGATTAAGACCCTGACAACATAGTCAGCCATCGTATCAATGCGATGGAGGTTGACAATGAATTTTCCATATGCCTCTTTTTTGTCAGGCCAGTACTGATGACACTTCACCTGAGCGGGAAAAAAATAGTTGTTATTGATATTGCCGTTATTGTTTTCGTATTGTTAAATATTTCTTCTTATTAAGTAATGGTTCGAGTAAGAATCAGGCAAGCAAACGGCAATGGAATGCATGAAGGTGCTAATTGTGTATTGTATAATCCATCCATCTCATTGGTTAAAAYATTWAAATCTGACATAATTTCAAAAGTAATCGCATTTTTTAATATTTTCTTTAATATCTATTTCCGACTTCATAAAAACTTTCCTTAGCCTCCTTTGGTAATTGGTTTGAGTGCTTATGATTGGACAAGATCTTTTAATACAAAAGAAACTTTGTTTCAAAACAGAGTTTATCCACATTTTATTTTAAAAATGTGTTACATAGGTTGATATATAATCAGTGTGAAGACCAAGACATTCGTATGTGGGGAAGTTGCAATTGCCGCAGAACAATAGAAAGTTGCCTGCTTTTTGCACGCATTTTTACTTTAAACGACTATTACAAACCTTTCCCGCTTCGATCAAATTAGTCAGCATGACAATGGTCTTGATATTTTCTTGCCACACCATCTGCCAAAAATCTGGAACACTTACTGGATTGGGACCTGTGTAGGTTAAGATGTCAATCATAATTGACCCCGCAAACGTGAAAAACATTGATAAGCAAGTCGAAAAATATAAAGAATATAAATTAAATATTAAAGATTATAAAACAAGGAATAGTGGTTATAATAAGCAATAAGAACAGATAAGAAAGGTGTCGTTACCTTGTGTAGCAATGTAAGTTTTTGGAGTGCCGTCAAACCCCTGAATAAAAACATGGATTTTGGTTTATTTCAGTTTGTCAAGATCAGTTGAATAGACCAATCCCGTATTCCCTTGGATGAATACAAAACAATGGCTTCATCCAGAGTCTGGAGTTTTATCTTTTGTCGAAAACTCCAGCCTCGAAATGAAGCCATTGTTCCGTGTTCATCCAAGCGATTCGGGATTGGTCTATTAACGGTTTAAACTCACGTGGATGTAGGAGGCGTTTACATAGTCTGAACCATTCGAAGTGTCTTCTAAAACAACTCTTGAGTGGTCATCTGATGAAAATGATGTATCGCAATTCAGTGAGTAATAACATATTTGATTGATTGCATGGGATTAACTGTCTTCTTACATGTAAATCACTTACATGCGATGATATTTGCATATCTGTTTTTAGGTTTGTTTTTTGGATTCTTCGCAATCGTCCAGGGAAACATTTGTACACTGGAGAGAAGCTAAAGAGAAAGAAATATAGACTTAACACTAGTGCCGTCGTTGCCTAAACCATAATGAGTTATCCAAACCGGTAAGTATTCGCCTCACTCGGAAAGAATGCTCTGATTAGCTGTGTCGTTCTCAAACAAAGAATGGCACTTATGGTCTTTTGTTTTATTTTTTATGTTTTGAACAATCCTTTTGGATTACATCTTCGGAAAGGTGGAAGCCCACCCATCCAAACGTATTCAATAATGCCACCTCACCGACTGGATAGGAGGATTTCTTCCGATGGCAGAAGAGCAAATGAGGGAATACTTATTCCCAAGTAAGGACCAGTTCACTCTGTGACGTAAGCAGAAGCAGAAGAAGTGCATTTGGTATGTGTGAACCGGGGAAAACAGAAGTAGAGAAAGAAGCAGATGGAAATGAAACTTTTTCATTTTCTTCTGCTTCCGTTTATGTTTATGTTGAAAGATTATGAGTGGGAACCGGGACATCATAAGCAGAAGAACATGCTTCTGTCAAGTGTGAACGAGCTTCTGCTTGGGTTTCTGCTTATGTCATAGTGTGAAACCAGCCCTATGGGTCAACAAAGCCAAACATGCACTTACCTTGAAATCTGCTTTTAGAGAGTCACCCTTCTCAATAACGTACTGACTAAACTTATTGACGTGAATGGGCTGGTGTCGTATTGCATCGGCATTACCATACAGGTCTGCATCTCCATCATCGCGACCTTGAGTATTTTAAGAATATTAGCTTTTCAGGTGGAATGAATAACACTAATCGAAAACTTATTACACAAGATGAGTTGCTGTCTGTTTTTTTAGTTTTCAACGAGGTACCTCATAAACGCTATTAAAAAGGGTGTATAGGTCAGGTGCTTAGCAGTGCGTCTTGGGATAATCGAAGGGACATAGAAGTTAAAGGATGAAGGAAGCAAGTAGAACGACAGAGCGAGAATGAATTGCATCATGCTTGAATGAACCAGACCAGTATCTCTTACAATGAACGGATTTGCTTTCATTATCGATGAACATTTATATCTATTTATGATTATATTCTATCTATGTTCACTTATAATTTGCATGTGCTAAGTAAAAAGATTGTGAACTATCGTACCATTAGGAGCATATCCAGCATTTGCATGCGGGGGAACATCTCCTCCTTTTAAACAAACGTTTGAATTAGCATACGAATTGAGAAGCTTGAACAGGCCCTATGCGCACCACCTACCTTCTATTGCATTCGTATTCTCCCGCTCTATATCATCCACATTATTCAGCTTTAAGTCATCATTTGCTTGGTTGCTGCGCCTTCTGAAATGATAAGTCGTATGATAATCGCATTTAGGAAAAATTCATGCTTAGGGTTGCATGGTAACTTCTTGTAACCAACAGAATATGTAAAAGCGTATTTTGTCAGTTTCCAATAGTGCTTCTAAAAATGTTTAATCAAGGTGCTGCTGAGCCTGTGGATTGTCATTTTGGAGTGAGGTTTATTTTACCAAATAATTAAAATCGATAGTCTTCTCTTTGAAGCACTTTCAGTTGCTTAGAATTAAGGCTCCTAATTTACCAATACTCCAGTTTCGAGTTCAAAGCGAATAACCGCTGTTTTACTTGACAGCAGATTCTATTACGCAAAGAACTTACCGACAAAACTTACGACAAAAGAAAGCACGAGAAAATGTTGTTAATACAATAGAGCGCTAAGAATCTACATTTTCCCCGAGTTGAGGCTAACCCTGCTCATACCTTAGGTCTTATGGGAATACAGGGATAATCTCAACTCGGGGAAAATGCAAATTTTCAAGTCTATTGTAATAACGACATTTTCTCGTGCTCTCTTTTGTGTTTGTAAGGTNTCTCCTCCTTTTAAACAAACGTTTGAATTAGCATACGAATTGAGAAGCTTGAACAGGCCCTATGCGCACCACCTACCTTCTATTGCATTCGTATTCTCCCGCTCTATATCATCCACATTATTCAGCTTTAAGTCATCATTTGCTTGGTTGCTGCGCCTTCTGAAATGATAAGTCGTATGATAATCGCATTTAGGAAAAATTCATGCTTAGGGTTGCATGGTAACTTCTTGTAACCAACAGAATATGTAAAAGCGTATTTTGTCAGTTTCCAATAGTGCTTCTAAAAATGTTTAATCAAGGTGCTGCTGAGCCTGTGGATTGTCATTTTGGAGTGAGGTTTATTTTACCAAATAATTAAAATCGATAGTCTTCTCTTTGAAGCACTTTCAGTTGCTTAGAATTAAGGCTCCTAATTTACCAATACTCCAGTTTCGAGTTCAAAGCGAATAACCGCTGTTTTACTTGACAGCAGATTCTATTACGCAAAGAACTTACCGACAAAACTTACGACAAAAGAAAGCACGAGAAAATGTTGTTAATACAATAGAGCGCTAAGAATCTACATTTTCCCCGAGTTGAGGCTAACCCTGCTCATACCTTAGGTCTTATGGGAATACAGGGATAATCTCAACTCGGGGAAAATGAAAATTTTCAAGTCTATTGTAATAACGACATTTTCTCGTGCGCTCTTTTGTGTTTGTAATGTCTTTGCGCAAGAGAATCTGTTGTCAAATAAAGCAGCGGTTATCCGCTATGAATTCGAAACTGGAGTATTTCAAATAAAAGTAAACTTACCTTCTCCAAAAGATTACACCAACAATAATGGCGACGATAATAATTATCAAAAACACTACAACCAGGGATGCTACCAATGGGGTGTTGTTGCCGCCAGGCCCGTTTCCTGATTGTGGGTCAGATTTATCTACAATAAAATTAAGAAAAATTGAAGGCATGTCGAAGGTGGTTGAGCTTATGGCTGAGCTTATGCTTTTAGGTCTGATGCTATACGATTGACTTCAAGGGGTGCATGATAATATGAATGGTCTCTCTGAGGCACCAAGAGACGAGAAGATGCATTCGGCTCGCATCACTATAGCTTTCTCTAGTTTGGCTTCAAAGTTTACATGACAATCAAAGATGGAAAACTCTTTGTTGGTATTTTTCGTTTCACTTCAACGTGATTGACTGGTGTGATAATAGTACATTCTTCGCACTGGGGCATGCTTGATAGGACATGATCGACTAGATCTGGACTCTAGTAAAGGTTACAAAAGAGAAAAAAGAAAGGACACAAAATAAATAGTATATTACCATGGTCTACTGGGACCTGTACTTCTGCAATCATCACCGTTTTACCATATAGTGACTTCTTCTGTATAAAAAGAATAAAAACAACAATAAAAGTTTATATAGACTCAACACCCAGAGAACCAAGCAACAATAGATAAAAAACATATTCCTATGTCAAAATAATTCATAGAAAATCAAAAAACAAGTATTGATAAAATTCAGAGAAAACATAAGCAAAAGCATGATATTTAATATATAAAGGTCAGAAATGATTCATTGAGGTTTTTCACCTGTTTATTCCTTGTCACCCCACATTGATAAACTTTATATTTTCCTCCAATAAGTTTTTTATTTTTGTTTTCTCCATAAGTTTTTCCATCTCCAAGAATGAAGAATCTTTGACTTGGGTCCAGTTTAAATGCTCGACTTGCCATCGCTTCACAGTCTGGAATGGATGTTTTGATGGCGCGTCTTATTTTCTTACCACCTTGGACGTTTTCCACAGACACCAAGATCTCACTAATTAAATAAAACGAACATAAGTTCATCAACAGTTTTATCCAAAGTACTTTTCATTTCGTGGTAAAAGTTCCTGGGCATCCCATACTTTTGGATTGAAGACTTCAAAATGGCGACCTTTTGATGAAAATCTCTTCTGTTGACACTGATAGGTTTACTGCCTTCTCTTACCTGATTGGTCCATTGATAGCAGATATTTTCCACAATGTAACGTTAGGAATACTCCCATTAATATTAGAAATGACGCCTTCCGTTGGTGCAGGTGGTGCTATTAGGATAAAAAAGAACGTCCGTCATCATCACCAAAAGTAACACTTTTTAAAAGGAACGGAAAGTCCTGTGTTTAAGTCATAACTTTCAAGATATCTCAGACATTTCATGTTATTTTTTTTTCTCTTGTCTTCTCATTCTTGCACGTTTGCAATAATGACTTCGAACTTCGGGTGTTCGTGGCTCAGCTACTTTGTAATAAGGAGCAGCTCTCTTATGGAGCTAAGAAAACGGCATCTTTTTTTTTCAGAAGTTGTACGTGGGGCAAAGTTTTTCATGGATTCTATTTTTTACATAAACACCTACCATAAGCTTCAGTTATGACAATCTTCTCTGCCTTTGGTCCATTCGACACAGTGAATGCCCAAACAGCAATGGTGTATTTAACCCCGCCATGAACATCCAAAATAGCTGTTGTTTTATTTGTTGTAATAGTAATGGCCTTGCCATCAGCAGATTTGAGGGAAAGACTGTACTTTCTTATGTATTCTGCATTCAAAGCTGAAGGAATGTCCCAAGAAACTTTAAGTCGAGGCCCAGAGGAACCATCCGATGCAATATCTGTCGTTTTTATATTTCGAGGTACTGAAGGTGCTGGGAATGAAGAGTTGGAATAAAAACTCCACAAATTATTATAAATATATTGGGAAAAGTTCATCCATTATGCTTTTCGAAAGTTCATTCAAAAGCAATTAAAACTGACAATTATTCCAATATCTTTACTTTCTTGTCCAAGTCGGGTGGACGTCAGTTTCCCATGGAAAATGTTGAAATACAAAGCTATTTTTTATATTATTCATCTCGTGATGGAGAAAGGAAGAAAAAGGAAAATGTACAACCCAACTTCACAATCAACAATTCTTACCATCTTCCTGGGTTCGTTGGCTTACAGGGACACTTCCTGGACCATATCCTAACTCATTACTAGCTTCAACAGTGATGTAATAGTTGGTCCATTTATCCAAGTTTTGAATTGTACGGAAAGTTGTATTGCCAAAATTTACCACAGTGTATTTCCCAGATCCTCCTTGAATAGTCGAGATGTTTATTCTATATCCATTAACTGGACACCTGAGACCAGAGGGAACCTGAACAAACACACAAATACAAAGCTTATGGTAAGTTTTAAAGACTGGTAAGTCTACATTTGATATCTTAGCTTGAAAATGATAATAATTAAAGCAAAGGTAGTCACTGGTGAAAGGTGTGGTCGCGGATTCAATCCCAGAGGGTATATCCCGTATCTTTGGATTTTTTACTTGAGTCCTTTTAGATATGGATTTTGTTGGTTATAGCTTCATGCTCTTTGTAATTTCATGTTGTTTGTCATTCAAATGAAACGTATAGATGGCAATAACATAGTATAAATACCTGCCATCTTACAAGGATACTCTGCGAGGTTTCTGAAGTTGCAGTAACTCCAGTTGGACGAACACTGGGCGCTGAGGAGTCAAACAGCAAACAGAAATCAAAGCAGTCAAAGTAGAATAACAATAGATTTCTGAAGCTTTTGCGTCACCAACTTGATTTGAAATGCATTATGGGATCTGTTTCCATATCAAAGAATTGCCCCAAAAAAGTTGTCCTTCGTTTAGCAGCCATATATGGTAATCTTACCTTATTTGGAAGTACGATAAGACTGGTTTTTGGCGATTTTCTCGACTTTTAAAGCATCAAATCGTCTTAAACTTGCAGACATTATAGCGAAAACACTTTTCAACAATCGGCCATTTTGTTGGTACCCATATATGGCATGGATTCGCTAAAGGAAGCCCAAAACTATAAAGCACAGGCATCGCGCACGAATGACATACAATTCTTTTCATGTTTTGTCCCAAAGATATCTTACAATGCATTGCTTATACGGTACATGACGTAAAATCTTCAGAGGTCTATTGTCATACAGAACTACCAAATTCATGCAACTCACATTGGTCAGGTTTTGTTCTAAATTTCAAAGTGTTACTCCAGGATCCTTCACCCAGAAAACTTAGCGCCTTGAGTGAGACATCATAGTCAGTGCAAACTGATAAGCCAGTAATTTTGCGAGGAGACATCGATGCTCTGACAGTAGTCGAACTTGACTGGCTCGAAAACTTTATAACAAATGAGTTTGTTCTTGCTTGAGTTTCCTTTATTGCTATTGTCCAATGAATTTCCGCAGATTTGGAAAGAATATTACTTACAGATTCTAATGTCGGGGTAGATGGTAATTCTGAATGAAAAAGCAAACAACATCCTCACGATGCAACAATGCTAGTAGTAAGAATATATTGAAGTAAAATAGTCCTCCTTCACCGTTCCCTGCGCTATTTTAAAAGGTAGCCGCAGCTTTGCATCGAAGCGAGACTACCGTTGAGCGTGAAATGATAGAAAACTGTGAATAATTGTCTTTAGGTGTGAAAGACGTTTTCTATCACTAATGATAAACCAAACAGTCGTCTGACTTCGATGCTAAGCACTGCTAAATCTCAAAATGACGTAGGGAACCGTGAATGAGACTATTTCAGTGTTCAGATGACTAAACAAGCCTAACATTGCACCAAACAGCATTGCCTCCTAAAAACAGTATTGCAAATGCAATCCATGCTCATGCTCTCCAGAAAGAGATTATGAAGAAACATTATAAATAATAAATACTTATTTATCTAAACAACTTTGAACGTATGATAAGAATGATTTTGTCAACTAACCAAGATTTTTAGTTTCGACTTCAGCGCCTTGGATTGAGTCTCCAGACGAACTTGTATATTTTACTTTGCATACAACGTTTCTTCTGCATGTCATTTCTTGTTTAGAGCATCTTCATAGAAAAAACATATGAGTTTCGAGAAAAACATCAAACAATATTTATTGGCTAAATATCTACCAACTGATGGCAAAGAAAACCGGATGACATCAACAACACTAACAACAATAAGTGATCTATGGTAACAACAACAGCAGCCAACTGCAGAGATAACGTATGATGACATAATGAACTGTCAGCAACAAACCACCGGCTGTTGATGACACCGTGACATCAACGGCTGATGACATCCTGAGTTGGTGGTGGTCATGATTACCATCTTCGCTCCTGTCTTTTTCTCGAGTACCGCGATGTTTTAAAAATAGAGGGAAGCCTGGAATTTACCAGTAGGTTTCGATTACGGTACAAAATTGATGGCAAAAGCCATTGCAAAATATATACCACCTTAATATTAAGTTTCCCGTTGCAGCTTATTCTTGAAAATACTTACAAAGTCGATTTGAAAACATCAGCATTGGTGTAGTTTACTTGCAGTAGAGATTTGACAGACGTTGCATCACGTGTCATGCCCGCAGACCGACCAGTTACGTCTTTCCCGTCAATGCTCCATTCAATGAAGTGTACTAAGGGTTCTTGTACCTTGCAAGTCAAAGTCACATGCTTGCCACTTGATGCTTGAAGATTTGTATTTGACAATTCTGATATTTTCAAGGTCGATGCTGAAAATAGAGCTACACTGATAAGCAGACGATCATTGACTTCTGCATGGAACCTTTTAAGCTACTACATGATTTGCAATGCATTGTTGGAGTAACTTCAAAAAGAAAACAAAAGAGATCCGCCATGTTTTCCTTCAGTCATATCCTACAATGCATTGCGTATACATTATGACGTAAAAGGTTCAGAGTTCTATCATCCAGGAAATGGGATTTGTTTTCCTTCAATCAAAGGCATTACACATATGTATACTCACGCGATGGGCATCCAAATAGTTCTAGTCTCATACATATAGCATTTTTCCAGGTCTGGGGATAAACTCTGATGTATCTGACTGAGGTTGGATGATTTAACCATCTAACAACAATGCTACTCTTGTCAGAATTGCCCTGAAAAACCTATAGAGAAAGTTCAAACATTTTCCGATTTACATTGGATTTATATTGCGGCTTTCATCTTTATACTAACTACCAAAGCAAATATTTGCACGCTTATTTACAATTCTTGCAAGTAAAACTCGTTACTTTGCGCTGGCTAAATGGTTATCAAAACATTCCCACACTTTTTTTTTAAAGCAAAAACAAAACAAAAAACAAAACAAAACAAAACAAAAAGCAAACACATGTGAAAAAAGGAGATACTTACAAAAGTCTTAAAATCTAGACCAGAGATATAATTCTCCTTGTTTTAGCTAAAGAATTTCACTTCTGATGAATTGTTCAGATGTAACCATCATACGCTTTTCACAACGTCATTTTTCTCTCTCAAACAACCATGCATTTTTGTCTACAATACCTTTGCAGAATTCCCTCCTTCTCTGTAATCATTCCATTGAATTCCGTCAAAGCTGTACCTAAGTATGTAAGTCTTGACCCATTTATCATCGGTGTGGTGACCCTGTGTAGCTATACCAGTCAGCGTAACGATCTTCTCAAAGTCAATCTGTATGTACTCTGACTTTGATGAGGTTCTACTGCACCATGACGTATCACCATAGAGACGTCCATCAGATGCATCATGGGAGTTAGATGTTGCTGTTACCTTGATATCCCCCAATTTACCATTCTTTTCGAGACCGAATGGTTTGCTACATTCTGAAAAAAAATTGAATATTCCAGATCAGTTCAAGGTTGTTATAGATGAATATTTGTATAACTTTAAACTAACTAACACTCATCTTCTGTTATTTCTTGAATAATTATACGGGCTTTGCGCGCCAAACCTTCGGCCGCCATATATTCGATTTTTTTTATAGTGGACCAGTTTTAGCTCCTAGTTTACTATTTTGACATTGCTTTGTAAATGAAAAAACAAATTTGAATATACAGTTTTGGAAATTAAATAGCTTATGAGTAGTTATTAAATCGATCAAATGAAAAGTGGAAATACGCCAAGCATTAAGACTCTGCAAGGGAGGGCAACTAATACTGGACACATTCTCAGGAGACAACGGGACAAATGGAAATATCTTGATGCAGAAAAAGTTGGTTTTAATAATGAGAACAGTAAAGGCTTTCCGATATATTTTACAGATTTGTTGCGAGATAACACTGGGCATAGGCTCAGTCTCCAGCCGTCGGGATTTCGTGCGCCCGCGATACTCTCTCCCCTGACGGCTGGGCGCATGGGGTTCGAAATGTGTCGCGCATGTCCGTGACGTTTTTGTGTAATTAGCATATTATGAATAACGGAAGTGAATTTTTCAGTGAACGGAAGTGAAATATCTGACAACAGGTTTTGCTACAAGGCGGGAAATTATGTGAAATGAAAACTTCGCGAAGTGGCGATATAATGTAATAGTTAGCGCTTTAAAAAAGAGAAAGGAATGGAAATTACCCCAAGTAAAACATGCGTAAGGTTTAATAATCCAAATGGATATATTATCTGCCAGAAAGACGAGCAAAATACACTAGTGGCGCTGTTTGAAAAATAAGAGATTTGCCCGAACCAGTAGGAAGAATAACAAGGACATCTTTTCCAAGAACAATCTCTTTAAGAGCCTTTTGCTGTATTTCTCTAAATTCGTCCAAGCTAAACGACTTCAGAGCGTTCAAACGAGAATCTCAAACGACGAATTGTCCGCCATTTTGTTACACTGCGACGACGGCTGCCTGCTAATTTATTAATGATATGCCCCTGAAAATATCGGGGGCCACTCGCTGATTGCCCGAGATTGACAATAGCGAACCCCATGCGCCCAGCCGTCAGGGGAGAGAGTATCGCGGGCGCACGAAATCCCGACGGCTGGAGACTGAGCCTACACTGGGCATTGCTCTTATGACAAAAAGAATTCATGGTAAATTTCTATGAAACAAGGTGTTACCTACCATAAGATTAGATATGTGTCATTCTTTCTAAAGCACTAAGGTATCAGGAGGGGTTCACGACCACTACTCACGCAAACTCAAATAAAAATACCTCAATAAAAGTATATATTTTTTAAAAGCTTAATAAATGTAGTTTTTGGAAATTATTTCGAAATTTCCATAACTTAAAACGCCATAAAGATATTCCGACTAGAGCGTATTTTGACCGTACCTTGTTTGAATTGCCTTAAAATTGTCAGGATTGCCGTCTTAGTAATGAAAATCACGTTGTAGAGTATGTAAAACTAATGACACAAGACTAAACCTACCAAGAGGTACACCATACACTTCAACCCTCATAGCTGGAAAGCCATTATAATCTGTAGGGTAAAATCCTACAAACTTAGCCTTGGTTGGTACTGCCAGGGTGTTTGTTACAACAGTGGTTCTGTCGTTGTTTCCATTAAAAACCTGTGAAAGAATCACGATCACAAGTTACACAATCACAAGTGTCACAATCACAAGTGTCACGATCACAAGTGTCACGATCACAAGAGTCACGATCACAAGTGTCANAATACTCCAGTTTCGAGTTCAAAGCGAATAACCGCTGTTTTACTTGACAGCAGATTCTATTACGCAAAGAACTTACCGACAAAACTTACGACAAAAGAAAGCACGAGAAAATGTTGTTAATACAATAGAGCGCTAAGAATCTACATTTTCCCCGAGTTGAGGCTAACCCTGCTCATACCTTAGGTCTTATGGGAATACAGGGATAATCTCAACTCGGGGAAAATGAAAATTTTCAAGTCTATTGTAATAACGACATTTTCTCGTGCGCTCTTTTGTGTTTGTAATGTCTTTGCGCAAGAGAATCTGTTGTCAAATAAAGCAGCGGTTATCCGCTATGAATTCGAAACTGGAGTATTTCAAATAAAAGTAAACTTACCTTCTCCAAAAGATTACACCAACAATAATGGCGACGATAATAATTATCAAAAACACTACAACCAGGGATGCTACCAATGGGGTGTTGTTGCCGCCAGGCCCGTTTCCTGATTGTGGGTCAGATTTATCTACAATAAAATTAAGAAAAATTGAAGGCATGTCGAAGGTGGTTGAGCTTATGGCTGAGCTTATGCTTTTAGGTCTGATGCTATACGATTGACTTCAAGGGGTGCATGATAATATGAATGGTCTCTCTGAGGCACCAAGAGACGAGAAGATGCATTCGGCTCGCATCACTATAGCTTTCTCTAGTTTGGCTTCAAAGTTTACATGACAATCAAAGATGGAAAACTCTTTGTTGGTATTTTTCGTTTCACTTCAACGTGATTGACTGGTGTGATAATAGTACATTCTTCGCACTGGGGCATGCTTGATAGGACATGATCGACTAGATCTGGACTCTAGTAAAGGTTACAAAAGAGAAAAAAGAAAGGACACAAAATAAATAGTATATTACCATGGTCTACTGGGACCTGTACTTCTGCAATCATCACCGTTTTACCATATAGTGACTTCTTCTGTATAAAAAGAATAAAAACAACAATAAAAGTTTATATAGACTCAACACCCAGAGAACCAAGCAACAATAGATAAAAAACATATTCCTATGTCAAAATAATTCATAGAAAATCAAAAAACAAGTATTGATAAAATTCAGAGAAAACATAAGCAAAAGCATGATATTTAATATATAAAGGTCAGAAATGATTCATTGAGGTTTTTCACCTGTTTATTCCTTGTCACCCCACATTGATAAACTTTATATTTTCCTCCAATAAGTTTTTTATTTTTGTTTTCTCCATAAGTTTTTCCATCTCCAAGAATGAAGAATCTTTGACTTGGGTCCAGTTTAAATGCTCGACTTGCCATCGCTTCACAGTCTGGAATGGATGTTTTGATGGCGCGTCTTATTTTCTTACCACCTTGGACGTTTTCCACAGACACCAAGATCTCACTAATTAAATAAAACGAACATAAGTTCATCAACAGTTTTATCCAAAGTACTTTTCATTTCGTGGTAAAAGTTCCTGGGCATCCCATACTTTTGGATTGAAGACTTCAAAATGGCGACCTTTTGATGAAAATCTCTTCTGTTGACACTGATAGGTTTACTGCCTTCTCTTACCTGATTGGTCCATTGATAGCAGATATTTTCCACAATGTAACGTTAGGAATACTCCCATTAATATTAGAAATGACGCCTTCCGTTGGTGCAGGTGGTGCTATTAGGATAAAAAAGAACGTCCGTCATCATCACCAAAAGTAACACTTTTTAAAAGGAACGGAAAGTCCTGTGTTTAAGTCATAACTTTCAAGATATCTCAGACATTTCATGTTATTTTTTTTTCTCTTGTCTTCTCATTCTTGCACGTTTGCAATAATGACTTCGAACTTCGGGTGTTCGTGGCTCAGCTACTTTGTAATAAGGAGCAGCTCTCTTATGGAGCTAAGAAAACGGCATCTTTTTTTTTCAGAAGTTGTACGTGGGGCAAAGTTTTTCATGGATTCTATTTTTTACATAAACACCTACCATAAGCTTCAGTTATGACAATCTTCTCTGCCTTTGGTCCATTCGACACAGTGAATGCCCAAACAGCAATGGTGTATTTAACCCCGCCATGAACATCCAAAATAGCTGTTGTTTTATTTGTTGTAATAGTAATGGCCTTGCCATCAGCAGATTTGAGGGAAAGACTGTACTTTCTTATGTATTCTGCATTCAAAGCTGAAGGAATGTCCCAAGAAACTTTAAGTCGAGGCCCAGAGGAACCATCCGATGCAATATCTGTCGTTTTTATATTTCGAGGTACTGAAGGTGCTGGGAATGAAGAGTTGGAATAAAAACTCCACAAATTATTATAAATATATTGGGAAAAGTTCATCCATTATGCTTTTCGAAAGTTCATTCAAAAGCAATTAAAACTGACAATTATTCCAATATCTTTACTTTCTTGTCCAAGTCGGGTGGACGTCAGTTTCCCATGGAAAATGTTGAAATACAAAGCTATTTTTTATATTATTCATCTCGTGATGGAGAAAGGAAGAAAAAGGAAAATGTACAACCCAACTTCACAATCAACAATTCTTACCATCTTCCTGGGTTCGTTGGCTTACAGGGACACTTCCTGGACCATATCCTAACTCATTACTAGCTTCAACAGTGATGTAATAGTTGGTCCATTTATCCAAGTTTTGAATTGTACGGAAAGTTGTATTGCCAAAATTTACCACAGTGTATTTCCCAGATCCTCCTTGAATAGTCGAGATGTTTATTCTATATCCATTAACTGGACACCTGAGACCAGAGGGAACCTGAACAAACACACAAATACAAAGCTTATGGTAAGTTTTAAAGACTGGTAAGTCTACATTTGATATCTTAGCTTGAAAATGATAATAATTAAAGCAAAGGTAGTCACTGGTGAAAGGTGTGGTCGCGGATTCAATCCCAGAGGGTATATCCCGTATCTTTGGATTTTTTACTTGAGTCCTTTTAGATATGGATTTTGTTGGTTATAGCTTCATGCTCTTTGTAATTTCATGTTGTTTGTCATTCAAATGAAACGTATAGATGGCAATAACATAGTATAAATACCTGCCATCTTACAAGGATACTCTGCGAGGTTTCTGAAGTTGCAGTAACTCCAGTTGGACGAACACTGGGCGCTGAGGAGTCAAACAGCAAACAGAAATCAAAGCAGTCAAAGTAGAATAACAATAGATTTCTGAAGCTTTTGCGTCACCAACTTGATTTGAAATGCATTATGGGATCTGTTTCCATATCAAAGAATTGCCCCAAAAAAGTTGTCCTTCGTTTAGCAGCCATATATGGTAATCTTACCTTATTTGGAAGTACGATAAGACTGGTTTTTGGCGATTTTCTCGACTTTTAAAGCATCAAATCGTCTTAAACTTGCAGACATTATAGCGAAAACACTTTTCAACAATCGGCCATTTTGTTGGTACCCATATATGGCATGGATTCGCTAAAGGAAGCCCAAAACTATAAAGCACAGGCATCGCGCACGAATGACATACAATTCTTTTCATGTTTTGTCCCAAAGATATCTTACAATGCATTGCTTATACGGTACATGACGTAAAATCTTCAGAGGTCTATTGTCATACAGAACTACCAAATTCATGCAACTCACATTGGTCAGGTTTTGTTCTAAATTTCAAAGTGTTACTCCAGGATCCTTCACCCAGAAAACTTAGCGCCTTGAGTGAGACATCATAGTCAGTGCAAACTGATAAGCCAGTAATTTTGCGAGGAGACATCGATGCTCTGACAGTAGTCGAACTTGACTGGCTCGAAAACTTTATAACAAATGAGTTTGTTCTTGCTTGAGTTTCCTTTATTGCTATTGTCCAATGAATTTCCGCAGATTTGGAAAGAATATTACTTACAGATTCTAATGTCGGGGTAGATGGTAATTCTGAATGAAAAAGCAAACAACATCCTCACGATGCAACAATGCTAGTAGTAAGAATATATTGAAGTAAAATAGTCCTCCTTCACCGTTCCCTGCGCTATTTTAAAAGGTAGCCGCAGCTTTGCATCGAAGCGAGACTACCGTTGAGCGTGAAATGATAGAAAACTGTGAATAATTGTCTTTAGGTGTGAAAGACGTTTTCTATCACTAATGATAAACCAAACAGTCGTCTGACTTCGATGCTAAGCACTGCTAAATCTCAAAATGACGTAGGGAACCGTGAATGAGACTATTTCAGTGTTCAGATGACTAAACAAGCCTAACATTGCACCAAACAGCATTGCCTCCTAAAAACAGTATTGCAAATGCAATCCATGCTCATGCTCTCCAGAAAGAGATTATGAAGAAACATTATAAATAATAAATACTTATTTATCTAAACAACTTTGAACGTATGATAAGAATGATTTTGTCAACTAACCAAGATTTTTAGTTTCGACTTCAGCGCCTTGGATTGAGTCTCCAGACGAACTTGTATATTTTACTTTGCATACAACGTTTCTTCTGCATGTCATTTCTTGTTTAGAGCATCTTCATAGAAAAAACATATGAGTTTCGAGAAAAACATCAAACAATATTTATTGGCTAAATATCTACCAACTGATGGCAAAGAAAACCGGATGACATCAACAACACTAACAACAATAAGTGATCTATGGTAACAACAACAGCAGCCAACTGCAGAGATAACGTATGATGACATAATGAACTGTCAGCAACAAACCACCGGCTGTTGATGACACCGTGACATCAACGGCTGATGACATCCTGAGTTGGTGGTGGTCATGATTACCATCTTCGCTCCTGTCTTTTTCTCGAGTACCGCGATGTTTTAAAAATAGAGGGAAGCCTGGAATTTACCAGTAGGTTTCGATTACGGTACAAAATTGATGGCAAAAGCCATTGCAAAATATATACCACCTTAATATTAAGTTTCCCGTTGCAGCTTATTCTTGAAAATACTTACAAAGTCGATTTGAAAACATCAGCATTGGTGTAGTTTACTTGCAGTAGAGATTTGACAGACGTTGCATCACGTGTCATGCCCGCAGACCGACCAGTTACGTCTTTCCCGTCAATGCTCCATTCAATGAAGTGTACTAAGGGTTCTTGTACCTTGCAAGTCAAAGTCACATGCTTGCCACTTGATGCTTGAAGATTTGTATTTGACAATTCTGATATTTTCAAGGTCGATGCTGAAAATAGAGCTACACTGATAAGCAGACGATCATTGACTTCTGCATGGAACCTTTTAAGCTACTACATGATTTGCAATGCATTGTTGGAGTAACTTCAAAAAGAAAACAAAAGAGATCCGCCATGTTTTCCTTCAGTCATATCCTACAATGCATTGCGTATACATTATGACGTAAAAGGTTCAGAGTTCTATCATCCAGGAAATGGGATTTGTTTTCCTTCAATCAAAGGCATTACACATATGTATACTCACGCGATGGGCATCCAAATAGTTCTAGTCTCATACATATAGCATTTTTCCAGGTCTGGGGATAAACTCTGATGTATCTGACTGAGGTTGGATGATTTAACCATCTAACAACAATGCTACTCTTGTCAGAATTGCCCTGAAAAACCTATAGAGAAAGTTCAAACATTTTCCGATTTACATTGGATTTATATTGCGGCTTTCATCTTTATACTAACTACCAAAGCAAATATTTGCACGCTTATTTACAATTCTTGCAAGTAAAACTCGTTACTTTGCGCTGGCTAAATGGTTATCAAAACATTCCCACACTTTTTTTTTAAAGCAAAAACAAAACAAAAAACAAAACAAAACAAAACAAAAAGCAAACACATGTGAAAAAAGGAGATACTTACAAAAGTCTTAAAATCTAGACCAGAGATATAATTCTCCTTGTTTTAGCTAAAGAATTTCACTTCTGATGAATTGTTCAGATGTAACCATCATACGCTTTTCACAACGTCATTTTTCTCTCTCAAACAACCATGCATTTTTGTCTACAGTACCTTGGCAGAATTTCCGCCTTCTCTGTAATCATTCCATTGACGTCCATCTATACTGTACTTTAGTATGTAAGTCTTGACCCATTTATCATCGGTGTGGTGACCCTGTGTAGCTATACCAGTGAGGGTAACCATCTTCCCAAAGTCAATCTGTATGTACTCTGATTTCGACGAGGTACTACTGCACCATGACGCATCACCATAGAGACGTCCATCAGATGCATCATGGGAGCTGTCTGATGATGATGATGCTGTTACCTTGATATCCCCCACATTGCCATTCTTTTCGAGACCGAATGGTTTGCTACATTCTGAAAAAAAAGTAGAGTATTCCTAATCAGTTCAAGGTGGCTATAGATGATTTGTATGGCACGAGAAAACTACCTGAAAACTCCTGTTCTTGAATAATTATTTAAAGTAAAAACTAATATCACAAGACTAAACCTACCAAGAGGTGCACCATACACTTCAACCCTCATAGCTGCATATCCATTTTCATAGTCTGTAGGGTAAAATCTTAGAAACTTAGCCTTGGTTGGAACTGTCAGAGTGTTTGTTACAATACCATCTCTGTTTGTATTTCCAGGAAAATCCTATGAAAAAAGTCGCACAAGACAAGTATTATCAGTTACATTCATTAGCTTGAAATCCCTTTGTAAAAGAGTGAGTTACATAGAAAAAAGCCTTTTTATTCATCGAGTCTTCAATAATTATATATTCGATCTTATGTGCCTATGTTCCTGCCTTTGTTTAATAAAGATCACATAAATCCAGTTTCATAAGAGCGAACTGATATAATGGCTTAATAGGTTTGGCATTAAATAACGCCGGGCTTCAATCTTCATACTAGCCATTCAAAAGTTTCTTTTAAGTTTAAGTTTAAATCTTTGAAACTTTTTTCAGTTCTTCTCTACACAATAGGTACGTAAGGCCCGGTTCATACGTCGAGCCAGCGTCGCGCCGAACCAAATAGTCAATTTGTGTCGACCCAAATCCATTTGGTACATCGTTGATTCATACGTCGAACCAAATGTAGTCAAAAGCATAAGAAAAGGTGCGATAACACGCAATTTACGCAATTATTATTGTCAAAAACAGATATTTTTGTGAATTAAGTTCGACACGACGATAGCTCGACGTTTGAATCAGCATCGAGCTTTTGCCGTGCAGCACGACTGACTCTGCCGTGCCAATGCCGTGCTATGGTCGCGCCGAACTCAATTGATTCATACGTCGAGCTGTTCATGTGCTAAATTCAAACTATTTGGTTCGGCGCGACGCTGGCTCGACGTATGAACCGGGCCTAAGAGACCTTTTGCATGGACATCAGTGACCCTTTCTATTTAACAAATCGAAATCGCTTTTCTATGGTTTACGCTTACGAGCGTAGCGAGTGGTTTCACTGCCAAGTTTTGATCATTTTCTGGCGTCATTTGAATTGTCGATAAGCGTACAGACCATAGAAAATTTGATTCTTTTCCATAACAAAGCCGAAAACAAAGTAAATCTTTTAAAACAAAACCATTTCTGGCGCGCGCCGGCTCCGTGCGTGAGCGATTCGTCATTTCATCGGTCTGTCCTAGGATCGACAACGGGTCTCGACCAATCAGCGCGCGAGATTTCTACAAGTTATGGTAAAAATGGACTGATAGGACAGATCCTTGTCTCCACATCTGAACGGTGGCGTTGCTTTTACAATGCAGGTGCAGATGAAATGTACAATAATCATAATATACCATTTCCTTTCCGTTATCGTCCTTGTAATATTTCCAACTGACATTATCCAATGACATCCTGAGCTGATATTTCTTTGCATATTCATCAACATGTGTTTTAGGATTTCCTTGGGTTGCAACAGCACAAATGTACACCAAAGAACCAAGATCTATATGCAGCCAGGAACCAGAACTTTTGTCTTTTTTAGGTTCCCAAGCCTCGGCAGTCCTTAGCCTGGCTTTACTTGGTAAATAAGAAGAGCTGTAATATGAACTTGCATCAAATCGGTGATCGGGTATCGATGCCGAGGAGGCTACACCAACGAAAATCTTGGAGCATACTGAAACACATCGAAAAAATATAATATAATATAATATGAAATATAATTTTTAAAAATAATTTTATATTTCGATACCATCGTCGGTGAATAAAGTGCATCTACATCTATTGTTGAACTTTCTATCGTTCAGACAACCAAAGCCAAAGGCGGAATTCAATACTTCATTCAATACTCTAATTAATGCCCGGGTAATATATAACCTGTAAGATATTCAAAACCTTTAGGTCTGAATCAGATTCACGAAACAGTTAACGACTGCCTGATCAAGTCAAAGTACTATAGGAATATATACAATTTTTGTAAGTTTTTTTTCAAAGCTTAATGAAAATGTGCACATAGTTATGAATATAGGGAGAACCAATTTGTAGTGTATACCATACCTGCCCTGGTATACAGATTTTCCTTATTCCTTGTATTTCGTCAACCATATATGCTTGCCGTATTTTTTACGGCAAAATAACATTCATAAACGTAATAATAGCTTCTAAGAACAGACGACAGTTCAGTTTATACCTGTATCCTGCCGTACACCATATAGTTCTGTCCTCATACAAGTTGTAGATCCAAAGCTACTTTTAGGTCGAATACGGACGTATTGACCAACAACCCCATCAAACAATGGATTTTGCACARTTGAGTCAGAATCAATGTTTCCAGGAAATACCTGGAATATAATGTAAACAAGCAGAMAAATCACATATGAGTAAAAGACTTGAAAGGGAAGAAATATTCTGTCAAGTTTGCCGTCTGAATTAGGTGTGTACCATGCAGTCCTCRAATGAAACATCAAGATACAACCATATGATATTGGTGATGATAATGATGTTGATGATGATAATCATGTTGGTGATGATAATTTTAAGTACCTCAGCCACATTATTCTGCTTGTAATCATTAAATGACGACGACCCATCTTTTGATGTCTGTATCTGATAAGTCTGCACCCACTGACTGGACTTGTGGTCACCCTGTGTTGCTACGCCAAGAATAATATAAGATGCACCAAGGTCAACCTGGAGGTATGAAGAAGAGTCTGACGTAACAGAGCACCATGATGAACCTGTTGTGTAACCAAGCCTGCCATTGTATGCTGGAGTACTGGTATTGAATTTGGTTGATGATGTCATCTGGAWGTCTGGTATCTTAGCATCAGTTGCCACACCCACAGGTACGGACTTCCATCTGAGGTCTTTTTAAAAAACAGTATGTTTATAAATATGACATTTAAAAAAAAATAAACTTCAGTGTTCTATATTCAAATCTAGTATAGCTTTGTAAACGGGATTTTTTTAAATTTCTGGTATGCAGCTAATACACCTTTTCAGTTGCACTTAGGCCTCGATAGCAAGTTAATTATTCTTTTGAATTTKACAAATGAGACTATTCATATCAATGTTTGCATTGCTCACATTCCTACAAATTCAAWAGAATATTTAACACGCTGTCGAGKCCTAAGAGCAACTGAAAAGGTGTATTCAGAAAGCGTTGAACACAGARTGATATGCTTCSTAGTGTGTTACACTAGACCGAAATGCATTGCTGACATTAAACTCTAATTCTAACTTTTAAAGTTAAAATCAATTAAACAATTAAAATTGCTTTAAATTAAAATTTTTACTGCACGGAGTTGGTATAGTCAAAAAACATAAAACYACGAAAACTAACTTTGAATGGCGAGAGAATGACCAAGAATGCATTTCGGCCTGAGAATACACCTTCCCGTATCAGTATTCAACGTTTTGTAAAAGAGCTGTATAAAGGTGCTTTTAAATCACGTTTTTTTTTTTTTTGATGGTTTGTTTCTATCCTTAAGATGTTCGCTAAGACTGAGAGCTTKTGAATGATATGCAATGATAATAATTCATTAATTGTATAAATGGCTTTCTATGTCCCTTACTCTGAGCATTGCAACTATCCACAGCAGACGCGCAATCATCWGCTTCTGTAAAAAGATATGATCGATGGTTAATTCGTTATTAACATCATAATTAACAACACTGTTTTGCGAGTGATATATTTAGAATAGTCAAAAAATAACATCAAAGGTTCTCKKCAAAACAAGTTAAAAGACATCGAAACACAATTGACGCTTGGACTTTTTTTGTGATTATTCTTAAAACTCGTTACTGAATTGAATTAACTAAAGCTTTTTTTTAGCAAACTCACTACAAACGGACCTAATTTTTTAGTACGACCAGTTTTGTTAAAATCCGGCCTTTTTCGATACTGCAATCATGTAGCTCCAATTTAAATACGATTTATGAGTAAATAGAGGCTAAATTTTTTTCACGAAGGCTTCGCCCTCATTTGCGCTTCACRTACAAGTTTGATTTGTGTACCGGAATCCTCTACTCCTTCAATAGAGAACACACGCAAAATGAAAGCACTAGACAATTCTTTGGTTTCTTGTGCAAAGACCGCAAAAGCTGTCCGTATGACAAGTATACAATGAACACGATGTCACACTATTCAAAGTGTCACGCAGTACCACTTTGATGGAATGTTTTCCCCTGGCTGGAATTTGAGCGGATTTTGAATAATTTKTAAATTATTCTCCTCGATGAATTACGCTAGTCTTTTAATATCTATAGTCTGTCGGAGATTCACTTTTAGAGTAGAATTGAGCAAAATGTAAATTTGTGTCATTCCACACTCCGCTGATTCGTGTTTGCAAAACCATTAAAATATTGAAAACATTATTGAAATATCGGATAACTGTCGGATATTTTCGAACAATAATGACATTGCACAGATATATAAAGGCTATCGGATATTCAACTTTATAATACACTAAAGAAACCCTAAAAAAAACATTAAAAGCATCGTCGATATCGTCTCTTGAAATTATCTCAGCAGTAACAGGAAAAAGTTTATAAAACTTTGGCAAGTAAACGCTGTTTCGATCGAGCTTTAGTATTAGAATTTTCAATGTCAATCCAAAAGTTATTCAAATAATTTAGATATTCTGACCCTTTTATGTTGGATATATAACAATATATCTGAACGTTGTTTTTTGTATCTTCCAACTTGTCATACTACATGTATGTAGGTGGTCKGTACGATCGATATCTTGATATGCTGGTCATTTTATGTCTAATCCATTGACCTGTTGTCTACGCTAAAGCAAAATAAAGAGCTACTAAACTAAAAAAAACACACATCTCTTTTTCTTTCCGAAAGAGCAATCATCATTGTAATTGGACTCGATTCAACAATCTCGAACATTAATGTCAATCTCTAGCTGACCTAAAAATAAAGACAGCGTTTTTGCTGTCAAACTGTTAAGCGAAGTGCGGTTTTAAGCAAAAACAATTAAACAATCCTTTCAGTTATACAAACGTGTATCCAGTTAGCTTACCTGTGCTTTGATGAAGAAGTAAGAAAAATATTACGACGCGGAAGTGCMATCGTTGTTTCATGTTGACTGCCTCCATTACTGTACTGCTCGATTACACAAGAATGTATCCACAGCCATGAATAATTTCCGGTCAAAAGTAAACACTAGGGGACGGGTGGGTAGGTAGGCAGACCAGAACTTAGCCTAATTAATTGAATYCAAAACGTCTATATCAAATAAAAAACTGTGTGAAATTCAGTCCTCATGCAACACTGCGCGGTAAAAAACGTTTTGCAGATCAATCATGACTCGTCTTTTTAACATATTGAATTTTTTTCAATTTTAAATGCTTTTTTGTTTTTAAAAAAGGCCCACTTTCAGCTGAAAGTGATCTGTCACTTGCGATGTTTCGTTTTCGCAAATGATTTCCGGTTCGATAATGATGTAAAATACCTAGCATTGAATGACTATGTAAAGACTTATACTATCTCAACTAAGTATATCTTTGGATCAGGCTTCAAATTTCAGAGAAAATTACGATTGAAAACTATTATGTCACTTTAATGACATCGATATGCTCCATCAAAATTTCAACTGTTTGTTATGGAATAGTGCAAGCATTAAAACCATAAAAAACTCAAATAATAGCAAACAGGACTCTAAACTGTCTAAATTACGTGACCGTCTTTCTTTTTCAYTCAGTCTTGCGCTATGTAGCACTATTTGGTAAGTGCTTTTTCACGCTTTTAGTATTTGCACTCTAAACTCAGTAAAATATTTAATTTTTCACAAAACRTAATGTGAAAGTAAATAAAAATAGGGAGAATTGATATAGCATCAACTGACACCTTCGATTTACTCTGCATTCGATCAGTGATGGCTAGCCAAGCTTGAAATCTTTTTATATTGATTCTCTTTTCTAATGAGCAAATGTTACATGAGAAACATCTGGGGTAAAGCTGAATGTATAAACGATTTGTTTTCAAAATTTATACAACTCACGTGCTAGTTTATTGACCGTTTTCAACCATTTCCCATGAGATTCAAAAGATAAAAGACCGGTTGCCATGTTGGAGGAATAAGCAATAGATGAGAATTCATTCGCCTTTGAAGTTCCTCCAAGATAGCCACTGGTAGGAAACTTGAAAACGAAGAATTGCGAATGCATCATCCGTTTCAAAGATTTGACAGTTTACTTAAAACACACAAAAACAACAAATCATACTGCCAAATTGATGGAATTACAAACAGGAAACGTTGAAATTACTTTCTCTGTGTGGTAAGTTCGATTGTAAGTTTAATTCTAACTTCAATAATTGYTTCAAAACTTCACGGACGACTTGATATTTAAAATTAAATCAATTCAATTATACGCAARATGGCGGCTACATTTGTCCCAGCGCCCMCTTTCAACTATTAGACACCATTACCTGTTTCGACCTGGGACCCGGAAAGTGTGATTTAGACTTAATGGAACAGCCAAGAAAGCAATTGAAACATGGGTTTATCGGCAGAAACAATTACACTTCGGATTTTAACAGATTTTATCGTTGATTTCTGAATTGGCAAGGATTTGTGATGAAATCCCATGAACAATTTGGGACGTAAATTTGAAACTTTCTCTTATGGCATATGTCAAATGGATCATAAAACGAAGACGCTTTCAAGTCATCAAAAGATAGTAAAAGTAAACATAGGAAAGAAGTTCTACCYTGGCCAATTGTTTCATTGTTGATACAAACGAATGTTTGCTGCTGTACGAACTGTTTCATAGGACAAAAAATGACAYGTTTTAGTTAAAMAAATCAGTATTTTTATATCTGTGATCTTTTAAAATCRKTTTTTTKKTWWTYCMWTKGSYTTKRA